TTTCCCCATCCTGTCTTCCTTATTACCCTTACTTGCCTTCTGCTTGAGGTTTCTTTTTTGATTGTCTTGTTTCGACACCCCTCTCTACCGGAATCTGAGTTTGTCCTTTCCCTTTCTTCCTTTCACCTACTTGTTCTATTTCCCTTCTCTCTTCCTCCTCTAGAACTTCTTCCCCGCTCTTGCTCTCTAGCTCTTCTCCCACGTCTGATTCTGAGGGGTTCAAATGTCTAATAAAGAAATCTCTAGCGTCTCTAAGGTTGTCGATTCTCACCCTTTTTTCTGCCCAAGTAAATAATAACCCTTCCGGGAGTAGCCACCTATATAATATTTTATGCTTTCTCAGTTGGGCCGTTAAAAAGTGATAATTGTGCCGTATTTCCCGAACCCGCCTAGGGAGTTGCCTTAAGAATATCAATTGTTTATCCTTATAAGTTACTGTTTTATCTCTGGCCTTCGCAATCACATCTTCCCTAAGGGCTTTCTTAGATAGTCTGATATGAACCTCAGTCAGAAGTTTCTGTCTCCTGGCATAACTCGTGTGAACCCGAAACACATCGTCTATATCCCTCAAAACCTCTTCCTTTGTGATCTCCAAAGTCCCAGCCAATATTTCTGCTACTATATCTCTTTAACGGCTTCCCCCTTTCTTCCACCACATTTTGAATCCTCAGATAGAAAGATGATTGTTCCATTTCCAGAAAAATAATTTCCTCTTCAAGGACCCTGTTCACCACTATTTGTTCCCTTTCCTCTCCATTTTGTCTTTCCTCACATCGTCCCATCCTCCTTTCAATGTCTTGTATTTTACTCTCCTGTTGCATCAACACCCGCTGAACACCTTCCAAGCTCTCATTCAACATTTTGATATCATTTCTAACGGCTCCCAGCTCCCCTTTAATATCTGATGTTAAGTCCTCTAAATTTTTGGCAATAACTTCTTGATTTTTGGTCATCACTTCGTACATTGCCTGCAGCATGTTCTGTAAGCTTGATAACGATGGTGGTTTCCCTGCAGCAACCATATCATCCAGTGACCTGGCAGACGAAGGCGATGAGGTGGGTGTAGCCGTGGTAGTCGTAGCAGCGACCATAGGGAATGTCAAGACTTTTTCCCCAGTTTTTGTGGTTACCACTGATGTTGCCGTTGACATTTTGATTGAAAAGATTTTATCCGATCAATTCCAAAAAAAGGGGGGTAATCAAGGGTAGACAAGATTTGAATTAATCAGGTGAGCAGTCTAATCGGTAGTAGGGGTAGTATTCAATACATAGTTCAGAGAGGAAAGAAAAGTAAGGAGAAAAAAAAATCCAAAAAATATTACTCGGCAGAATTCTTCTCTTCCTGGAGTTGCTATACACAGGTTATAATAAAGATCTCCACTAGATGGGGGTATAGCGCTATTCTGCACACACACTCTTTAATAAACACGTTGAGAGGAAAAGGGGGTGGGGAAAGGGTAATAGATTTCTAGCAAAAAGTATAGCTGTTTGTTCAGTCACAGGTCCTCCCAAATCCTCTATAGAAAATATAAGAAAGGAGCAGGAGATCAACCCAAAATCAATCACACCCTCCACCAGATACAGCTCACAACTCGATCCTTTTCAAATGTTCCATTCAGCCAGCACAGTTCAAAATCGGCTCCACAAGTAAGGAGTGGGACACACGTAGCCGCTATCCCGTCTTTGCTCCAACCACACACAGGGCACTTTTCATAGGTCTCACCACCTCAGCATATCCAGTGGGGCTCTCAGAACAGTCAAAACACCGTCTCCATTAGCTCTTATTTAATTGAAGGTGTAGGGCGCCTTGTCCGTTGCGATCAGGTTTCCCTTCCAATATGGGCAGTCATCGCTACGGAGCCGCCATTACTGGCGCTGCCTTCTCAGCCTGGGACAGGAGAGATTCGCTTTCGCGTGCCGGATTGCCACTCCTAACAAGCTCCTAGCTCCTCTCCGCTTGCGGCTGCCTCTCCGGGGCCACCGCCGGCAAAACAAAGCCGCCCAGGCTAGGAAGTTGGCAAGATCATGACAGGAGCTAACTCCAAATCCATCTTGCTAGCACAATGACCGGAACCGGAAACCATTAATACATCCTGTTATTATCAAATATCATCCATCGATATCCGCTATTACTTTGTTTTTTTCAAATTGGACTCTATTTGATATTAATGTTGCAACACCTCTAGATTTTGAGGACCCAAAAGCTTTTTCATAAACCTGCATCCCTTTTAAATACATCCTGTTTATATCCTCAGATTTCTGATGAGTTTCTTGCAAAAAAAGTATGTCAGGAGAATCTCTTTTAATCTTAAATTCTAAATGTCTTCTCTTAATCTGATTCCCAGTACCTTTGACATTCCAAGTCATTACCTTAATTACCTCCATTAATATTTTTGATTTTAACTATTCCCTCTTTTTCCTTTCCGTGACCCAAAACCCAAACAAATATATATAAACAACACATAACATAAAAAAAAATAATAAAAAATAATAATAATGTAAAACATGCAAACAACATAAAACAAAAACTAACATAACACACAACCACATAAAATCTTCATCTCCCACCGTCTTCATTAAGACACGCCTCGTTTCCAAGAGTGGGGGAGGGGGGACTCCATCCATCAGCCGGGTCATCTCTTCATTGGCATAATTCTGGTTTCAATTGAATAACTACAAGTTCTTCATCCCCGCACTCGGGCTCATCTTCCCTTTTATGTTCAGAATCCAATGTAATCATCCTTTCCACTCCTTCACCAGTAACATCTCGACTTTTCTTCTGTACCTCCGCCAAGGATGGAGAAATATCTTTCGTTGGTTTTCTTTTCCTCTTTCGTTTTGGACCTAAACCTCCGACCGCCCCTCCTTCTTCCTCTGGTGTTGATGTATATACTTCAATTCCACCCATTTTGACTAATTGGGATTTTAGTTCACTTTGTTCTTCCTCTTTTTCCAAAAAGCCAAGCTCATGGAGGTATTGAACCACATCCGTTTCTATTGTAAATATATGCATTCTATTTTTATAAAAAAAATTCATTCGCTGTGGTGGTCTCCAATTATACTTAATATACTTAACCTCTTAATATTTTAGTAATTGGCTTCAAATAATATCTCCACGATCTTTCCTCTTTTGAGATATCTTGAAAGACTTGGACCTGTTTTCCCTCAAGCTTCAACACAGCATCACCATTTTCTCTAATTTTTGCCATTACTTGTAATTTATCATTAACACTTGCAAATCTCACCAAAACATTTCTTATTATTTCATGTTGTCTTCTAAATCCAATTCAATAAACACTTATCAAATCTGTAGTTGAAAATTTTTTATCCAATCCGAGTTCATTAAGCCATTTCAAAACACGTTGTTTAATATTGTCCACTTTTTCTTCCACTATGCCTCTTATAACAATGTTGGACTTCCTAACTTCTTCTTCCAGAATACATATTCTTCTATCCTGTTTTTCATTTTTAAAAAAAATTTCAGTTATTTGCTTATCAATTTTTTTTGTTTGCACTTGTAGTTGATCTACATTATCTTTTATCACTGTTACTTCTGCTGTGTATTTAGCAAAATTAACATTAATTTCTTGAACAATTTGTTCCAGCTGATTGGATCTTTCCTTCTTTTCTTCATCCATTTTTAAATGTATTTTTTGAAATTCTGTATCCATTATTTCAATTTTATCACTTAATTTGTTTAATGCCAACACAATTTGAGCTGAGTCAATACTAGCTTGAGAAATCTGTTTGAACTTAGATCGCACCGATTCATCTTTAGATGGATCCATCTTAATAACTCCTATAATTTTTTGACCCAATATTTCTATAACCTTATTCACAATTCAAAATCAATGGGTCATCAACTTGTATTTAAAAAATCTGATTCAAACAATGTTGAATTGTTGAAGAGGAAAATCTTTAACCATCAGTTCTGTACCACAAATACTCAGAAGGGTTTTTTCAGAAGGACTTGGGCTTATTTTACTTTCTTTTTTTTTATTTTACTTACTTTTTTTTTTTTTGCCAGAGACGACAAATAAAGCATTAGGGAGTCCCAGATATTAAAAAGTTGAAAATCCAAATTATTGAAGGCTTGCTTACAATTGCTTCTTGCGCCAAAGGCAGTGTAAAATACAAACAGTGAAATTCCTGTAGTCAAGTTAATCAAGATCAGTTACACTCCTCAGCGCCATATTGCCCGCTGCGAACTTCAAACAGCAAGAGTACTTTAGATTACTTTAAAACTTTTAACTTTTAGTCCACAATTTTCACAGCGTCTTCAAAAAAAAAGGGATAATTGCTTTCAAATTTTCAGACGATCCCACAAACAAGCCATTTAAATATTCGGCTATTCAAAAAAAAAAAAAAGAAAAAAAAAGGTTCCTGTTCTCCATGTTTATATCGACTCCAACATTCAGGCAGCTCTCATATATCTTATTTTTATCTTATTCAAACATAGCCATAAAACTTAATTTGCTGCCCTTCGCCCTGCGGACGTTTTTTGCGGATCCAGCTCACAATTAAGTTCAAATTTATTGTTTTTCAGACTCTTTAAATCATCGTTTCGCCATTTCATCACCCCCTCTGCTCACTTTTATTTCCCCGAAGGGAAAGCACTATAAAAAAGCCTCAATTAAAAGCATTTCAGGGTGGCTTACCGCATCGATCTTAATCCAACTAAATCAGGAACTCTTCAATAACGCATTTAGTTATTATCGGACTTTAAAAATGCTGTTTATTTTTATTTTCATCCACTTTCAATTTTCCATATGCCGCAGAGAGATGAAGATAATGTCTCTAAGCCACAGCCATGGACATGCCCCCAAGTTAAATCATTTGTGTTGTTGAGTAACAATAAGAAAAAATGTTTAAAACACTAAAATAGACATGCAGATTTCTCATTGCAAATGAACTTCTACACTATGCTAGGTTGCAGCCAAAAACATTTCATTTCCCCCCTGTAATGCAAATTGTTTTGATTTTTTCAAATATATCCTCAGACCAGCATTTGTCAATCCATTAATTGCTGAAACCCCAGAGGAGGAAAAAATCTTAAAGGAAGGAGAAAGTAAGTACTCTTCTAGTCTGTGTTGTTTTTTTGGGGGGAGAGCAAAATGGAGAAATTTTGTTTTGTGGCCATTCCTAAATAATTGGGGGAAACAGGTTCTTTGAGAGTGAAATAGTTTGGTGCGTAAAGCAGTCTAAAACACACTTACAGATTTCATCAGTTTTGAAAAAGGGATGAAATAAAGCTGTTGGAAGTCAGTTGTCATTCATTTTACATGTTTCATTCCATTGATCAGAGAACAAGATCAGGCGGCTTGAATCTAGTAGGGCTTCTTTACTGAAGGTTGCTCCTACTGCAGATGAAAGAAATATTATCCATAATATGTTCCTGAATACTCTGGATTCAAGGTAGGGAGTTCATTTATAAACATTTATTACATGTATATTCCATGTATACAGTATTAGGATTACAATTTGGAGGACTCCCAGACAGCGTGGTGCAGCAGTTATGCTGCTAGACTGTGATTACATAGAGTCATAGAGTTTATTCTGTCATAAGTGCACAGTGTGTAACTTCGATCCAGTCTCTCAGCCTAATATACTTCACAAGATGGTTGTTATAGAAAAGAATTGGAGGAGGGACCGTTTGAAAGCAGAATATGTTTATAGCATAGTAATGGGAAAGAATAACAAGATGTTCTTGGATTCTCCAACATCTATATCAAATATGGGGTCTCCAGATATTGTACTGTAGTGCCATCAATCATCTTGCTTAGGTATCAGAGAAGACAAGGTAAGATATGTAGGTGAACCTAAGGTCCTAGTCCCATTCCCAGCATGTGAATGAAGTGGTATCCATATAGTCTTAGGTAAAGGTTGAAATTCACAATATTGGGATAGGACAGTGTTCTTAACAATTTTACATGTCCTTCTCCATTTTTTAGGACAGTAAGTTTTCGTAGTCGGGTATTACTACCCAATTCAGTATGGATGCAAGACACAAAATTAAAGGGTTTGGAGATCTGCCATCCACAGGTATTTACTGAGCTATAGCTGATGTAGACTAATCCTTTTGTTTGACTCCTGCTTCAAATTGGTACATGATGTGGTACTTTCTATAATACGGTAGCTATTTGGCAATTTGATTTTTTGATAAATATTCATAGCCATTTCAAAGTCATGAAACATCTTCAGAAATTTAATTGCTCTGTACCCTCAATATTTAAAGAAGACATCTGTAATTGCTCTGTACCCTCAATATTTAAAGAAGACAGTAGCTATATTACTCAAGAATGTATGCCAAATATATAATGTGAGTATTGCCAGTTTGTGCTTATAGCAATTTGGAGGGAATTTTCCTTAATTTCAATACACTGCAACAAAGCCAAACAGTTTTGTAGTTTTATTAATCTATGGTCCTGAGGCATTCTCTTTTAGAATATAACAAAAGCCTTCAAGAAAGTAGACAAGCACTTTTTATAAAACATAATGTGAGATTTAAAATGACAAACCTCATAGAAAATAAGGCAGAGACCATGAAGAAGTAAAAAGCAGATTTATTATAGATATATATAGATATATATATCATAAGCTTTTGCAAAAGGGTTCTCCCATGAAAGAGAGAGAACGTCTTACAGCTCCGAAGACATGGTTTAAATACATTTTCAAACAATCAGCACAACAATTAAAATGCCCCCACTTATCATTGTTTTTCAGATGTTACATAACATTTTGGCTTTCTCAGCAACATTTTTCCCGATTTAGAATTCCCCCTTGGAGGGGCATTTCCCTCATAAAAATACCCTTTCAATATGTCTTAATTAAAACAATTAATTGGAGCAGGGTATCTTCCTTCTTTCTATTACTTTAGCTTGGGTCAGCTTGACCCAACTCAGAATGTACTAACTGTCAGAGTACCTGGCATTATTTCCTCAGAAAAGGCATCATACATACTTCCCCTTTCTAAGTGTCTTACACAGCTAAGTAGCTTAGGGTTAGCTCAGGTCATATGAAGGGTAAATATGGAGTCGCTTAGGTTATATTCTTTACAGGAATAATTCCATTTCTCACAATCCAACCTTACCTTTTTGATCCATCCTTATTCCTGTAAATCATCGTGTATGTTTTGTAACATAATACATACTTCCTGTCTACTTAATCTTTTCCCTTTTCTTCTTTTTTTCTTTGGTTTAGTTACCCGATAACAGTACTTCCAACAGTTACAACATACAGTTGCACATTTGATACAAATACAAAAGATAATGCATATACAATAACAATGATACCTATAAACTTTAATTAAATGAGACTAGGCATCGAAGAGGTTAACAAATCCCATATTCCTTTAAAGGCTGTATTATCAGTTACATATGTTAAATGTGTAGTGATATTATGTAAAGCTTGTACCACCTCATCACTACATCCTGTAGCATACGCCTCACTTAGTGTAGCTGTTTTTCCTCCCTATACCTTTTCCTCCATATGATCGAAGGGGTACTTCACTGGCATTATAGGCTATTTTACAGGTTTTACAGATGCATAAATAATTAGATGTGGTTCTTTCTCTGGCTTAGGTGATTCCACATGTCCATGTCCATGCATATGTGATTCATCCACTGTCTCCTTTACAGTGATGTTTTGTGTAGTGTCCTTTGCAGCGACCTTATGTGGTACCCAGTTACTATGATAGAGATTAGCATTCATCATTTCATAATAAAATTCTGTTTCCTGATTAATGTTCTTAATATGTGCAACTGCCATAAAGGCAGTCAGACGTCCAATTGTACAAGGACCTCCTACTGCATTAGCAGGTATGTATGCATAGGCATATAATACACAAAACAGAAACCATCCTCTAGGCAGGTATAACACCTGTCCTCTAAAAATTTTTACTACTGGTTCTGTGAGTGTGGCTTATTATGTGGGCGTAGCTTGGTGGGGGGTAATGTGATTGGGTGGGCATGGCCAACTTTTTTTTTTTACTTTTAAAACCATTTTTTCTACAACCTTAAGAGGTTGTAGAAAAAATGCTTTTAGAAGCCTCTGACGATCCCAGCTGAGCCGCACGATCATCAGAGGCCTTTTTTTTTTTACTTTTAAAAGCATTTTTTCGACTGAAGAGGTTGTAGAAAAAATGGTTTTAAAAGTAAAAAAAAAAAAAGCCTGTGATGAGGTGGGCAGGGTAAGCAAGCGGTGACGGTTTGGGGGTGTGGCCAGCCAATGTTATTACCAGTTCTCCGAACTACTATAAATTTTTACTATCGGTTCTTGTGAACCAGTGTGAACCGGGAGCAACCCACCACTGGTCCTATAGCATTTACCTCTTCCACTTCAGAACAGGTAAACACATGCTCAGTAGGCATAGGAGCATATACCACCTTTTCCTGTTTCTATAATCCTAAACTTCTTATAAGATGGTGCATAATTACTATAACAATTAGTGCATTGATTGTATAAGAATTCCATTCTATTTACTAGAGCTTTGTACTGGGTAACTGTTTCATACATACGATTGCACCTTGGGTATCTACCCAACAGTACACCATCATTGAAAGAGGATTTAATACAAATCCCAGCTTCAGCTGTAGTCTCAATCAGGGTCAATGGTGTCTGCACCAGGGAATATTGTTGCTCAAGTTCAGTATGGAAACACAGCTGCTGTCATGTTATAGAATAACAAAATCCCCATTCCTATTTGTATATATTGCATAATTTCCCACAAGGCAACAACCACTACCACTCCAAACCTCATCTTCCTAGTGAACTAGGTCCCCTGTTTAGAGTATGTTTAGATGTGTAAAAGCTTAAAAGCTTGCCATTAGACTTCAAGTCTTTCAGCCAATTGCTGGGGACTTAACATCCACCAGGTACCACAGCATCGATTTACACCATTCAATTATCTCCTTTCTTAATACAATCAATATCACAATAAAAATGTTTATTTCTCTCAACCAAATATTTAAATCAACTGCCCAAAGTTCCATTAGTTGGATATCTGTCTTTTAAAAGTTAGTTTAAGCAGGTTTGAGGCATCTGTTGACACTGTCCATCCATAAGCAAAGTGCGTATATATTTAAAAGTTAAGTGCAAGAGGATTGATGAATCTTGCTTCACTGTCCATCCGGAGGGTGGGTCTTATGTCCAAACTGCTGTTTCAGTGGTCAACAGGATTTAGCAGGATCTGTCCCAGGCTTGGCTAAGTTTTTCCACACACCAGCTTGTTATCAGGACCCAATCATCACTTTTGTAGTCATGTATTTGAAAATTAAGAGGTGGAATTCATGCCAATAGTCCTTTAGACTTTAAACGAGAAAAACACTTGGGCAGTCCCTGTATATTTTTTCTAAGAAAGACATCTTTAAGCTTTATTTTTAGGCAGTCCCATACTCTCAGTATAGGGTAATCCAAACATCATATCATATGACGAAACATCTTTTCTTTAGATGGAAAAGAGATAAAGGCAAACATTTCGTCCAGAGAACCTGGAGCTCCAACATTAACCTTTTCACTGAATGTTTCTATTGCCAATATTTTTATTGCCAATCAATCCCCAGTTGCTCCATTACCTTTCTTATCATCTGCGCAATGAAATATGTACCTCTACATATATAATTATTGATAGTGATCAATAATTTCAACCAATCCATATTTGGGTATTATTTGCTCCAATGTGAGTTTAACAGTCATCTGAGCATTTGCCCTTGCACAGGGAGAGGCTTCAACCCATCCAGTTAGATGATCCACTATTACCAGCAAATACTTCAATGTTCCCATGGCTGGATCTCAGTGTAATCTACCTATCTTCATTGGATTGGCCAAATGGCCAAATCCCTGTTGTTGTTTATGCATAATCTTCTTATTTATTCTTACACAATGTATTTATGTATTTGTACACAATGTAAATATTATCTCCCCACTTGTATGGCTATCGTATACATGCCTCTATAAATATATTTCCTTTTTTAAATTCTAGTAACACTTGTATTCCCTCTCTATTATATTCCTCATAATAGATGTATTTAGTATTCATAATCAATCCATTTTCTTTTTTTTTCTTTTTTTTTTTATTGAAAAGTTTTACAAAAAGTTTACATATTCTCCCCCCCTTCCCTACCTCAACCTCCCCCCTCCCCCCTCCCCTTCCCAGAACAAATTACAGGATATAAACTTCAACAATCATAATCAATCCTAATCTAAACAATTATGACATTTCACATCTCTTGTTTCTTCAATTCCCTAATTACCCGCCTAGCTTTATTACTTAAAGACACACTAAATATCTATATAATCATTCATAACCTATCTGCAATTTCTTATTCCGATATTTATTTTGAATATAATCTATCCACCTTCTCCAATCTCTTAAATATCTTTCATTTGAATGATCCTTCAGGTACGCCGAAATTTTTGCCATTTCCGCTAGATTTATAACTTTCATTGTCCACTCTTGGATTGTAGGTAAATCTTGCTTCTTCCAATATTGTGCCACCAACAGTCTTGCTGCAGTTATTAAATTCAAAATCAATTTGGTCTCTATAACTGTACAATCCGTAACTATACCCAGAAGAAACAGCTGTGGTGTAAATTTCAACCTCTTTTTAAGAATATTTTGTAAAATCCACCAGATTTTAATCCAAAACGCTTTAACCTTTTTACATGTCCACCAAATGTGAAAATAAGTAGCATCCTCACAATTACATCTCCAACATTTTGGTTGTACATTCGGATACATACGAGATAACTTTTTTGGATCTAGATGCCATCTATAAAACATTTTATAAAAGTTCTCCCTTAAATTTTGCGCTTTGGTAAATTTCACATTTGTTACCCATATTTTCTCCCACGTTTCCATCATTATTGGCTGTTCAAAATTCTGCGCCCATTTTATCATACAGTCCTTAACTAGCTCTGTTTCCGAGTCCATCTCTATCAGTATATTATACAATCTTTTTATATGCATTGAACTTTGATCTCTAATTTGTTTAATTAAATTTTCATCACTTTGTATAACACCAGTTTTCTGGTCTTTTCTCCATCTGGCTTGTAATTGTACATATTGAAACCATGTTTGAATTATTTTCTCCTCTTTCAACACATTCACAGATTTTAATTTTAATATACCTCCCTCCATAATGAGAATATCTTTATACGTAATTACATCCTGTCTACATTCTATACTCGTATTCTCTATTGCGTGCCTGGGTGCTGTCCATATAGGTATTTTTTCATTTAACTTATATTGATATTTCTTCCAGACACGCAATAAAGCATTTCTCAGTATATGACTCTTAAATGCTCTGTCCACCCTTTTTTCATACACTAAATAAGCATGCCAACCATAGACCAGATCATGCCCTTCAATATTCAATATCCTTCCATTTGTTAAATTAATCCAATCACTAATTGCTGATAAAACAGCTGCTTCATAATACAATTTTAAATTTGGCATTTTCAGTCCTCCTCTTTCTCGTATGTCCTGCATTATTTTCAATTTTATCCTTGGTTTCTTACCTTGCCATACGAACTTATTAATACCTTTCTGCCACTCTTCCAGGTTGGCATCCTTTTTTAGTATTGGTATCATTTGAAAGAGGAACAAAAACCTAGGCAACACATTCATTTTTATAACTGCTATTCTACCCAACAAGGACAATTGTAGTTTTTTCCAATTATCCATTTCAACTTGTGTTTTATGCCATATCAATTCATAATTATACTTATACAATTTACCATTAGAAGATGCAATATAAACTCCTAAATACTTGACTTTTTTAACTATTTCACATCCCGTTACCCTTTGTAACTCCTCTTTTTGATTAGCTGTCATATTTTTAACTATCATCTTTGTTTTTCCAATGTTTATCTTAAACCCAGATACTTGACCATACTGTTTTATTATATCAATCAAAACCTTTGCTGATTCCACTGGATGAGTTAAGGTCATAACCAAATCATCTGCAAATGCCCGTATCTTATATTCATAATCTCTAACTTTGATTCCCTTTATCCCATCTGCATTACGTATTTTATTTAACAGCAACTCCAAAGTTAATATAAATAATAATGGCGATAAGGGACATCCCTGCCTCGTGCCTTTTTCAATTTTAAAAGTTTCTGTCAAACTGCCATTAATAATTATCTGAGCTGTCTGTTCCTGATATATTGCTTTTATAGACTGCATAAAGCAATTCCCAAATTGCATCCTATTGACCACTCTCAATAAAAATTGCCAATCTAATCGATCAAAAGCTTTTTCCGCATCCAGAAATATAAGCACCGCAGGGATTTGGTTATTCCTTTCCAAATATTCCAATATGTCAACAATTTGTCTTACATTATTTTTCATTTGTCTACCTTGTATAAAACCAGTTTGGTCAGCATGAATCGTCTTCTGCATTACTAGCATTAACCTATTTGCCAATATCTTAGCAAATATTTTATAATCTGTATTCAATAAGGATATAGGTCTATAATTTTTGGGTTGTGTCAAATCTTGATCTTCTTTTGGAATTAACGAAATAAAAGCTGTTTTCCATGAAGGTGGTACCCCTTCACCCAGCTGAATTCTATTGAATAATTCTTTAAGAGGTAAAACCATCTCCAATTGTAAATATTTATAGTACACAGCTGTTAATCCATCCGTACCAGGAGCCTTACCAGTTTTTAACTGTTTAATTGTTGAGAGGATCTCCTCCTCTGTTATTAATTGGTTTAACCGTTCTCTTTGTTCCTCTGTAACTATTGGAATATTCTGTCTATCCAAATATGTCTCTACCTCTACACCTTGTATTTTGTCTGCAGTATACAATCTTGCATAAAATTCTAAAAATGCCTTTTTAATCATATTTTGGTGATGCAGCTCTCTACCTTTATACTCTATTTTCTCTATGGTACGAGATTTTTGTTTTTTCCTCAGCATGTATGCCAACCATCTACCTGGTTTATTTGCATTACAAAAAGTATTATGTTTAGCATATTGTAGATTGGTTGCCACTTGGTCTGAAAGCATCATATTAAATTGCCCACGTAATAAACTGATCTCTTCTTTAATTTTCTTATCCCCTGGGTTATCAATTAACACCCTTTCTTTTTTCTTAATCTCTTCTTCTAATTCCCTCCTTTTCTCCACTTGTTTACGCCTATAAGCATTATTCATATTTATCAGAACTCCTCTCATATATGCTTTACTAGCATCCCATACCATATCCATAGATGTTCCCTTGTTCATATTAAAAACAAAAAATTCCTTCATTAGTTTTTTACATTCTATTACATTTTTCTCATATCTGAAAAGGTTTTCATTTAACCGCCAAGATCTCCTAACTCTTTCCCCACACTCCAGTTCCATCCAAACTGGGCTGTGATCAGTTAAAATTCTGGGACAAATCTTTATCTTCTTTACCCTGGAAAAAAAATCATTTGTAATTAATATAAAATCAATTCTTGAAAAAGATTGATGTCTATCTGAAAAAAATGTAAAATCTTGTTCTCTATAATTCCTTTCACGCCAGATGTCTCTTAATTCCATATCCTCCATCATATCAAAAAAAAGTTACAAGAGCAGGCTTTATTACAAGAAGTGAATGCTGGTGTAGAAGCTGTGGGAGGGGCGAGACCTAAAAGAAAATTCCAAGAGGATTATCAAGCGGTTCTCGCCAAGCTTCGAGATTCTGAAGATGGCTTCTAGGTTCTTAACCTGGAATGTTAACGGTTTAAATTCACCACAAAAAAGGAAGAAAATATTTTACCATTTGAGACAATTTAAAAACGAAATAATATGCCTGCAGGAAACACATATAAGGACAACTGACCAAAAATATTTAATAAATACAAAATTGGGAACACATTTTGTTGCATCAGCCCCGGAAAAAAAGAATGGAATAGTGATTTACTTGAAAAGAGATTTGACGGCTAAATTAGTGGAGGCAGATCAACAAGGAAGATTTCTGGCAATTGAGATAATGATAGAAGGAAAGAAAACACTCTTATTGGGGATATATGCCCCCAATCAACAGCAAGAGAAATTTTATAAGTTGATACATACAAAATTATTACATTGGGATTATAATTCATGTATACTGATGGGAGACTGGAACGGAGTGTTAGACCCTAGTATTGATAAGAAAAGAATAGTACAATCTACAAAATTGCGATAATCAATCCATTTTCCATCTATCTTTTCCGCACTCTTGTCTCTCATCTATGTCTCTTCATCATCTGTGAAGTCAGGTTTTGTCACTGCATTCTTTTATTTACCAGCTGAGCTAATCATTTCTGGACTGTCTGACTTTCTGTACCTTGCCAAGAATTGTTATCAGTAAGCTACGTGCTTCCGCATTCTTTCACATTCCTTCACACACTCTTCCCTTTGTTCTCATGCCACGGGGGTGCTGGTTGCTGTGAAAAAGCAGCCAGCCCGAAGTATTTCAAAATGTAGCAATTATTTTTCTTAGTTAGTGAGGTATTTTATTTTCTTTATAACAAATAAATGAGTTTTATTAGAGAACTTTTCTTCGCGTTTCTTTTCAGAATATTGCAACTTGGAGGAAGCCTCGATCCATCCTCTAATTAAACCAGGGTGATTTGTCCCAGAGCCAAACATGGGATTAATCAATCCCCTGACAGGTTTTACATCACATTCCAGAATAGGAATGAAACCCTTCAACCACTTTTCCTCCCCCATTCGTGCAGCTTCTTATGCAGTTTCATCTGCCAATCTATTCTCCATAACCTGTTTTGAGTTTCCCTTTCTCACACATAATTACATACATTATATGCATCACTTCCTGTATACTGCAACTTATTTGGAGCAAGTAGCATTGTTAAGCAATAGCTTTTCTGTGTGTGCCTTTAAGTTAGATTAGATTCTTGGTGACTGCGTGGACAAGACCCTGCAGTTTTCTTGGCAAGGCTTCTTGGAAATAGTTTGCCATTCCCAGGGCTGAGAGTGACTGGCCCAAGGTCACCCAGCAGGCTTCACACCTAAGACAGGACTAGAATTCACAGTCACCCAGTTTTTAACTGGATGCTTTAACCACTATACCAAACTGGTTATTGAGCAATAACTTATTAGCAAAAGAAAAAAAAAAGCACCTGAATCAGGCACAGTTACTGGGAATCATGCAAAGATAGCTCTATGAAACTTATCAGTGATTCTTTTCTCTTCCAGAACATAATTACGTAGTTCATATGCGTCCACATTGGTTTTAGCAGAACTTTCTGGAAACTTGACTAAATAGCTTCTAGCTTGTTATTATATGTTTTGTGTCTGCTGATTTTGGCGTTCTGTACAGAGTAATAGCAAGTATGTAATTCTTCTAGAGCAAAAGTAGCATTTAAGTTAATAGATAGAATAAATCCTTGTTTATTTCATCTTGTTTTATAATATACAACTGACTAGGTTATTGTGGTTCTATGTTTTCAGATTTCCATGATTCTGCACTTTGAATTTTTTTAATGGAATATTCTAATAATACAAATTGCTCTTAATTTTAAAAAGCTGAGGATGTATGCATGCAGGTGTACACTGTCAGGGTTTTTCAAACTCTGTCTTGGAATTCTGTGTGTGTGTGTGTTGGGGGGTAATAGCTGTGATGGAGGGTGTCACTTTTTTTAAAAAAAAACTTAAATCTATTTGCACAAAGAGATTGGGAATTCTGTCAGTCTTCTCTGGGCTTTAACTGCACCCTATGGGCAATTGCAGTTTTATAAAGTTTAAAAATCCCTTTGATACATAATTTTTCATTATTAAAAGTAAGTGGTATATTTATTTCTTGCCCAACTCTAATCCCAATGAAATCATTAAGAAATCTATTTATCATTTTAGGGAGTAACTGTACTACAGTAGAGGGTTTGATAACCCCTGTCTTTAGTAATTTGTGTAAATGCTTAAAATTCATTCCTCCTATGGATATTTGTGAATATAGGAACGTAACATTTTCAACAGAATCTTTGGAGGCTTTCTCATGAGAAAAGCATATGAACTTGGATGGGCTACTGCCTACAGCTATGGGTAAGTATTAGGCTATGTCTCTCTTCCTCTCACTTGAAATATAACATTGCCAGGGAAGGGTGATGTCAATCTCCTTTCCCATCTAGCATCCCTTCCCAGGCTTTTGGGATGCCTAAAGGGTTCTCTTCTTCCCTTTCTTGGTCACTTTGCACAATCTGAGCAAGAAGCATAATGCACTTTAAATCAGCGTAAACTAGTTATTAAATATTTTTCTAAGTCACGTCTCATCTTTTCTCATTCTGAAACTGAACTGAATTGACTAAAAATGTACATTGTTTAAAATGTTACAAGTTGTCCTCGAGTTATGACCACAATTGAGCCCAAAATTTCTTTTGTTAAGCGAGACATTTGTTAAGTGAGTTTTGTCCCATTTTATTATCTTTCTTGCACAGTTATTAAGTGAATTATTGCAGTTGTTAAATTAGTAACACAATTGTTAAGTGAATCTGGCTTCCCCATTGACTTTGCTTGTTAGAAGGTCACAAAAGGTGATCATATGATCCTGGGACATTGCAACCATCATTGAGTCAGTTGCCAAGTTGTCGGAATTTTGATCATGTGATCAAATGGGGATGTTGCAATGGTTGTGTCAAAATGGTCAAATGTCAATTTTTTCAGTCCTGTTGTAACTCTGAACCATCACTAAATGAACTGTTGTAAGTCGAGGACTATATGTATAAGCATACAATAGAAAATAAGGGAGCAGGCTGGCAGGAAGATGCTGTGAAGATTGGGGAGAGGGTCACTAAGCATATCAATGGCAGGTATGGGAAAATGCTGAAGCCATTGGGATAGGCAAGTTGGTGGGAAGATGCTGAAAAGAGGGATGACTAGCAAAAATAGCAGCTATGGAAAGATTTTTGGAAGATTGGAACTGGAAAAGACCTTGGAAGTCTTCTAAGCCAAGTAGGAGACCATATACCATTTCAGACAAGTGACTGTCCAGTCTCTTCTTAAAAACCTCCAGTGATGTAGCACTCACAACTTCTGATGGCAAGCTGTTCCACTGGTCCTCACTGTTAGGAAGTTTCTCCATAATTCCAGGTTACTTCTCTCCTTGATTAGTTTCCATCATTTCTTGTCCTGCCCTCTGGTGCTTTGGAAAATCAGTTGACCCCCTCCTCCTTGTGGCAACCTCTCAAATATTGGAATACCGCTATTATATCCCCCCCTAGTCCTTCTTTTCTCTGGACTAGCCAAACCCAAATCCTGCAACCATTCTTCATGTTTTAGTCGCCAGGCCTTTAATCATCTTAGTTGGTATTCTTTGTACTTTTTCCAAAGTCTCAACATCTTTTTTGTAATGTGGTGATCAAAACTTGATGCAATATTCCGGGTGTGGCCTTACAAAGGCTTTATAAAACAGTACTAATACTTCATATGATTTCAATTCTATGTCTCTGTTTATACAACCAAGGATTGTGTTAGCTTTTTTTGGCTGCTGCCGCGCACTGCTGGCTCATATTTAAATGATCATCCACTTGGATTCCAAGCCCCTCTCACAGTTACTGTTTTTGAGCAGATGCATAGGAAAATAAATCAATAACACTATATTAAATTATATTAACTACCATACCATTTTCTTTTCATTTTCACAAAAACCACTTATTTTTAAGTCACTATGTGATTATACAATTGTAACTGTATTGCCTGATATAATATTTTCACATATTTTAGGTTGGCCCAGTACAGTTAAGACTAATTTATCAGTACTAATGGAATCCTGTGTCAGATGACAGTGAATATGGATGTAACTTAAAAATGCAGGAATTGAGATTTTATTCATCTGTTAACCCTGTGTGGCAGAAATCAGTTTGCTGAGATGACAACATCAATTCTTTCCATCTCATTCTGAGCAGGATACAAGATAATCCTTGATTTATGATCACAATTGAGTCCAAGATTTCCATTGCTAAGCAAGACTGTTGTGAATTTTGCCCCATTTTCTTGCCACAGTTGTTAAGTGAATCACTGCAGTTGTTAATTCAATAACATGGTTGTTAAGTGAATCTGGATTCCCCACTGACTTTGCTTGTCAGAAGGTTGCAAAAGGTGATCACATGGCTCTGGGATACTGCAACTGTCATAAATATATGCTAGTTGCCAAGTGTCCAAATTTTGATCACATGACCATGGGGATGCTGCAATGATTAAGTGAAAAACAGACATAAATCACTTTTTTCAGTGCTGTTGTAACTTCGAATGATCATTAAACGAATGGTTGTAAGTCGAAAACTACCTGTATTGGGTTCTCAGAGCAGTCAATATTACCAATTCAAGATTGTGGCAGTTGTAAGAAACAATATTTATTTAATAAATAAAGAAGCAGCATTGCAATGAAGTCAACTCAATAGCTATTGATATGTTACTAGACAGTATGTAAGGAATAGGTATTTATTTATTTTTATTATCAGATTTATATACCGCCCTTCTCCCGAAGGACTCAGGGCGGTGCACAACCAAAGTAAAAACATAAATACAAACATTAAATACAGTTAAAAAGATATATATACGTTTGGCCCCATAGTTAAAAAAACAATAACAAACCTATTAAAAACATTTTAAAAAGTGTTAAGCCAGCCCGGCTTGCTGAAAAAGAAAGGTCTTAAGGACATGGTGGAAGGCACCGAGGTCTTGGATTCTTCGTTATCTCTGGGGGCAGCTGATTCCAGAGGGCAGGTGCCCCCACAGAAAAGGCCCTCCCCCTGGGGGCCACCAGTCTACATTGCTTGGCCGATGGCACCCTGAGGAGGCCCTCTCTGTGGGAGCGCACAGGTCGGTGGGAGGCCATTGGTAGCAGCAGACGGTCTCGAAGATATCCAGGTCCTATGCCATGGAGCGCATAGGTATCACCAGTCCAGAGAAACAGAGGGAAAAGTTTAAGAGTTTACTGCTAGCTATAGAGAGCTGCAGTAGAGAAAAGACAGGAGAAAGGATAATTTGCAGATAATTAGTAGATTATCTGCAAATTATCTGCAAGTAGATTATGTTGATGAAAAGTTTGAGTCTATGTTATCTTACAAAGTTGCAAAGATCTTGTGCTTCCTGGAGGCATTCTTTTTTAGGTGTACCCTTTAGCACTTGATCAAGCTTCACTTACAAAGAAAATTATTAAGATCATATCTGATGTTACCAGTTATGTATTTTTATATTCAAATGTAGGGATGTATGCTCTTGGCACTGGTGGAAAGGAAAACAAGTGCAGTATAAATCAAATAATTTTTTTATTTGAAAATCATGTTATATTTGAATGGCTATGGAATTCCACATAATAGTTCACCTTGTTCTTAAATAACATATTGGGTCAGTTGTTATTTTTACTTGTAATTATCTTCTAGTAATAGCTTATGAATTGTAAAATCAGCTCCTTAGATGTTTAAGCTGATTTTAGCTTAGTGAAATAATAAAGTCTTTATACTTGCTAATGTGTGTATACTATACTACAATAAGCAGTTATGAATTTGAGCGGTAATCAAGAGAATTCCTTAATATTCTTTTACTGGATTGTCATGTATACCTGAGAATCTGTAGTCCAATGAATTTGGAAAATACGCATAATTAAATGTCTATTTTATAAACTAATATTTTATATCATTTATTAACAAATGTCAGGATCATAATAAGTTTCTAACATGGAATATAATTTCAAATATAAAACAATCCATGTCCATCTTTTAAAAGTATATGTATGTGTAAATATGCATAATTACAGTATTTTTTTCAAACACCAGAAACTCCAGACCTTATGTGGTAGCTGTAGATGATATTATGTTTCAAAAACCTGTTGAAATTGGATCCTTACTATTACTTTCTTCCCAGGTAATAAATTAAACATATTAATAGATGAAACTAATTTAAAGTGTTTGGATTACTCCACCTTTGAACATTAAGAAGTTGGATAAATACTGATCTTTAAATACGGGAAATCCTTGACTTAAAATGGAAATTGGGACTGAAATTTCCATCGCTAAGTGATGTAGCTGTAAAGCGTGATTGCTTAGCTAGCAATCTTTGCAATCATGGTTGCTGTCGTTAATTAACCTGCACATGATTGTTAGGTAAGGCAACTTCTTGCTGGCTTCCCATAACCAAAGTCAATGGGGAAGCCAGCAGGAAATTGCAAATCTCAAGCTAGCTGACAGGTAAATGACTGGGGGGCGTTGGGGAGGGAGCAAGGGGGAGAGGGTGTATGAGGGTACAGGGCAGGGGTGAAATCCTACTGGTTCAGACTGGTTCGGGCGAATTGGTAGGGACGATTGGCATCGGTTCACCGAACCGGTAGCAATCATCCCTGGTGGCCCCGCCCATGCCTGCCCTCTCACCTCTTCTGGCTCGCTCGTCCCTTCCGGCTCGCTCACTGCTTTCGGCTGCTCGGCGCTTCTGTCTGCTCAGCCCACCCACCCACTCCTGCCCTATATAAGTTCCCTTCACCACATGGCCCAGCTACTCACCTCGCCAGTTGCCTACCTGCTCAGCTGACCAAAGGTAAGCAATGCATGTTGCCCACTTGCTCTTCGCCTTGGGTCAGGGGCGGGGCCCAGGGACATGTGATTCCCCGAGGACCCGGAGCCACTTCCTGCTCGCCATCCGCCTCAACTGGGTCAGGGAATGCATCATTCCCTGGCTCTGGCCTTGCCCCGGAGCTGCTGCCCGCTCGCCGCCCACTCTCCCTTCGTCACATGATGCGTCCTTACCTTCCTCCTGCGGCTGGCTGCCAGGGAAGGCAAGCCAGGGCTGAGCCGTTGCTGCTGGGCTCCCTGCCAATCCACATCTCGCCTCCCTTGTTGCGAGATGGCTGCAGTACCAGCCTCTTTTTTCAGTGCGCTTGGAGGCGCTTCTTGTGCCGAAAGACGCACAGGCTGCAGGCTTCTTGTAGTGAAAGTAACCAGATCTGCTCCCCTTCTTAAATGCGCCACTGCCATCACCACCCTGTTCCATGTGCCAGCTGCGCATGCACACACCATTTATTTATTCATTCATCATTCATCAGTGGCAGCAGGTAACGTACTCATGCGTGGCCAGTGCATGGAACAGGGAAGCGATTGCTGCGGCACATTTAAGAAGTGGAACGGCTCGGTAACTTTTGCTACAAGAAGCCTGCAGCCACTGTATCTTTCGGCACAAGCACCTCCAGGTGCACCAAAAAAAAGAGGCTGTGGCTGCAGGCATCTTGGGACAGGGGAAAATAGGCAGAATAGAAATATTTTTTTTCCTACCGGGTTCTGTAGGCGTGGCTTGGTGGTGGGGGTCATGTGACTGAGTGGGCATGGCTGTGAGTGATGTCATGTTGGCCACACCTACTCAGTCACAGGAAACCCCCCTCCCCAAGCCATGCCCACAGAACCGGTAGTGAAAATTTTTAGATTTCACCACTGGTACAGGGTTGTGCAAATGGCTGGCACAATGCAAGCACAGAGGTGCTGGCAGAGAGTACAAGGGTGGGGAAGAATTCCCCACTAACTTGCAACCTTCCCTGATGTCTTCTCCATTGACTTTCTGGGGAAGCCAATAGGGAAGGTTGCAGATGGTGTCTATGGAGATTCTCAGTCATCCAGGTCACAGTAGTCCCAAAAGTGCTTTTTCAAGAGGCAACTGGACTTCCTGGTTTTTCTTTGAAGACATTTCACTAAAAGAACTAAAACACATCAAGGAAGCCCTTAGATTAGAATGTGTGGCTATCCCAAGTGGGCCTTCACCAAAAGACCCTACAGGAGCTCCTCTATAAAAGCCAGTGAAGAGAACAATAAACAAGGCAACGTCATTCCAAATGTTGCAGGCATATCAGAAAAGCTAAGGAGGATCTTCAGCCAACACAACATATGTGCACACTTCAAACCCAAGAATAAACTAAGGCAGAAGCTTGTCCACCCCAAGGATAAAACACTCAGATACAAACTGAGCAATGTGGTATATGCAGCAAGCCATGTGCAGATCTGTACATTGGGGAAACAAGACAACCACTTCATAAACACATGACACAACATGGGAGAACAAACCTATTAGGACTAGATTCAGCAGTCCATCTGCATTTAAAAAACAAAGGCCACGCTTTTGAAGACAGCAAAATCCACATTTTGGACAGAGAGGAAAGAGGGTCAAAGAGGCCATCTGTATCAAAATTGAACAGCCCTCTCTCATCATCTATCTCCAGTTTACAACACAGTCCTTCCAACAGTTCCAAGAAGGCTCCACACCCATTCAGGTGATCCTAATGACACAGATAAACCTCCAGGCTTTAACTACTCTCTAAATAAAAGAATGCAAATGACCAGCTGTCTGCATGGAGTACAAATCCTTCCATTCAGATTAACAGATTAACAGAGTTGGAAGGGATCTTGTAGGCCTTCTAGTCCAACCCCCTGCTCAAGCAGGAGATCCTACACCATTTCTGACAAATGGCAGTCCAGTCTCTTCTTGAAAGCTTCCAGTGATGAAGCTCCCACAACTTCTGAAGGCAAGCTGTTCCATTGGTTGATTGTTCTCATTCCCCACCATCGACTCAAAGCTGAAGAAGCTTCTTGGATGAGAAATGAAACCTCTTCAAAGAAAAACCAGAAAGTTCAGTTGCCTCTTGAAAAAGCACCTTGGTTGCAGATGGTGTAATAGCAAGGAGTTTGGGAATCAGTTGGAAGTGTGAACTAGTTGCCAAGTGTCCAGATTGTGATCACATGACCAGTGGGGTGCTGGGATGGCTGGAACTTCAACGACCAGTTGTAAACAATCCTTGTAACTTTGAACTATTGCTGAACAAATTGTTGTAGATGAAGACTACCTGTAATAAAATGTCATGCATACTTTATTCGTTTTCGAAATTCTATACCGAATACCTAGTTGACCCTAATTTTTAATTTTTAAAGGTTTGTTATACTGAAAAAAATAATATCCAGGTTCGGGTGCATAGTGAAGTTTATGATCCAGACACCAGGGTACACCACACAACCAATGTCTTCCATTTCACATTTGTGATAGAGAAGGAAATACCAGATGTTGTTCCCAAGACATATGGTGGTGAGTAATCATTTCAATGTCTCACTGTCTATGTAATAAAAAAATAATTTATAATGAATTAATTTAAAAGTAGTGACCTTTAGAAATATGAGCCTGCTTGTTTTTTTCTCCCTCATAGCTTCATTTATCTGGTGCTATAATATACTAATCTATGCCATCAGTTTTCAGATTACTTTCAGTATTTTATCTGTCATGTCCTCTATTAGCATTGATCTTCAGTTTCTTCAATTTGTATTAAACAAATTATTTTAAATTAAAGAACTAATTAAGCATTCTTGTGGCTCCCAGTGGTCTTCCAGGTGCGATTCAAGGTGTTGGTTACCACCTTTAAAGCGCTCCATGGCATAGACCGACTTCTGCCACCAATAGCCTCCCACCGACCAGTCCGCTCCCACAGGGAGGGTCTCCTCAGGGTGCCATCGGCCAAGTTATGTCGGCTGGCAACACCCAGTGGGAGGGCCTTCTCTGTGGGAGCCCCAGCCCTGTGGAATGAACTGCCCCCGGAAATACGTAAGATCTCCGACCTCCGGGTGTTTCGCTGCGCACTGAAGACCCTGTTGTTCCGCCAGGCCGGGCTATCAACATAATAATTTTAAATTGGGGTATTTTAAATTTCTGGGATTTTAATTTGAGCCTAATCTATTTAATGATTTTAAATTTTTAGTTGTTTTGTTTTGTGTTTTTAAATAGGCTGTACACCGCCCTGAGTCCTTCGGGAGAAGGGCGGTATAGAAATATTATTATTATTATTATTATTATTATTATTATTATTATTATTATTATTATTATTATTATTATTATTATTATTATTATTATTATTAACATAGAAACACTTGTTTTATCTATCTGGAAAGAGCAGGCTTAAAAAATTAAGAAAATTAATATTTAAAGAAAATTGTGAAAAATAAAAAAGCCTTGAGCATCCAACTGATTATGAAACTTGACATTTGTGCTTTTCTTTCAGAATCTATGTTGTATTTGGATGGAAAAAGGCACTTTGATTCAGTTATGAAAGAAAACACAACATAGGATCAGCACAGAATTATAGCTTTGGATGGCCTTGAAAACTTCAGAGTGGTTATCAGAAAGAACAGAAAAGCATTTTTACTCCAAAAGCAGTACAGAAATATTATAAAGTTTTTATATTTCTATCCTAGTATTTTTGTTGCGATTTATACAAATATTTTAATGTTCTCATTGCATATATTCTTCATATGTTTAAGCATGAAACAAATATAGAATATTTTGCTGAGCGTCCAGTTATGATTGGGATGGGCAAAATATTGTGTAAATAAATAATCAGTAGAAAAAGAAAAAAAGTTACTTTTGAGTAGGACGTATAGAAAATAGTATAGAATAATGCTCCTGAATATCTTTCATACTTTTAAAAACTTGTATGTTATTTAAATTCATGCAACGTATAGTGGGGACACTACATTGGGCCAATTAAGACATTTCTCCCCTTTCCCTTTAGATCCATAAAAAATCTCATTGTGCTGATTGGTAGTTGTTTTTAAAGTTTTTTTAAATCACCGGTTTCCCCAATAATAAGACCCCCCCTAAAAATAAGCTCTAGTTAAGACCCCACCCACTCTGTCCCACCATCTGGTTGCTCACGGTCACAACGGGGCAGGAGGGCATCTGGTACCGCCACGAGGTAAGGTGAGATGAGGCAAGTGGCAGGGGGAGCTTCCACATTCGCTCTGGTCTCATGTACCTCAAGGCCCCCACAGCCAGGCCACTGGAACCTCCCTCTGCCCATTGAATGACCTGGCTGCCTGCCTCTTCTCTTTCACTCCCTTCCCGAGCCGGATGCCATGCTATGGAGCACAGGTGTCAAACTCGATTTTATTGAGAGCTGCATCAGGGTTGTGTTTGACTTCAGGTATGTGTGGGGGCCAGGATGGGTGTGGCGAGGGTGGGCATGGTCAGCTTGGCATCGCTTGTGTCAGGGGCACCACTCGTGGCCAAGTGCTAAGGCAGGACTTCCCCAGACCCTCCCTCCCTCTCATAACCAACCAACCTTCCTTCCTTCCTTCCTTCCTTCCTTCCTTCCTTCCTTCCTTCCTTCCTTCCTTCCTTCCTTCCTTCCTTCTTCCTTCACCTCTTTCCTTTTCCTTCCTTGCTCACTTCCCATCTTTCTTCCTTTTTTGTTGTCTTTCCTCTTCTCATTTTCTGTTCCTTCTTGGATGCTCAAATGCAGAAGGGGAAACATTTCTCCTTTTGCTTTGCTTTTGTTTTGCTAGTCTTCTGCCAGTGAAAACGGAGCTTAGGGAGGCTGCGCATGGGCCCCCCAGGCCCTGTTTTTGCCCGTGATGGCCTCCTGCAGCCCTCTGCCAGCAAAAACAGAGCTCAGGGAGGCTGTGCATAGCCCGCCTGGGCTCTGTTTTCACTACAGAGGCCCTAATGTGGCCAGATCTAAGCACCTCATGGGTCGGATTCAGCCCATGGGCCTTGAGTTTGACACCCCTGTTATGGAGGATGGGTGGGAGAAGCTCGGTCCCCTTACTCTGCTGTTTCCAGGGGAAAGTGACGGCAAAAGGCCTCCACCACTGCTGTGCATCAGCCACATCTGCTGCTGGAGCGGTTTTCTTGTCCCCACTGCCCCTGCCCCACCCCGCAGGTCAGTGTCTGGCAGCAGCTGCTGCCTCCTCCTTCACCTTCTGCTTTGGTCCTGTGGCACCACTTCACGCTGCCTGGTCCCCATTTGCCATTTCAATGGAAGCAGCTCTGGAGGCCTGCAGCTCTGGAGGCCAGCACCTCTGCCACTGCATTTCAGTACCAATGTCAGCCTTGCCCTTCTGTGGGCCTGCAGCTGCTGAAGAGAGACGGCCCCGTTTTAGTGCCTGGAGCCCTTGCAACTTGCTTTCCAGCCCGTGCTCCTCAGGGCAGGCTGTCTGTGTGGCCCACTCTGCGCTCCACCCCAGAAGCAGGATCGAAACTTTGGCTTCTCTCTGGAAAAGTGAAGTGACCCGGCGGGCATGAAGGGTATGACTTTTTGCCTGACTCTTTGTGCCTTTCTGTTTTCTTTTTCCTGGATGGACCTTTTCCCACACCCTGCCTGCTTTGTCTTTCATTTTGTCTTTTTCACACAGCAGGCGGTGAACATGCGGGGCCTGCGGTATGGTGCCAGCCCCATCCTGCTCCACCCCCTGCCTCAGCATCTCCCCAAAATAAGCCTCAGTACTAATTTTGGGGCCCAAAAGAAAATAAGACCCAGTCTTATTTTCGGGAAACACATTAGAAAATTTTGCCAAGGCTGGTTCCTTTTATTTGTACAAACCTCCTGTCTTGTCCTGGTATTGATAATAAGATGCGATCCTTATGTAAAGTGCTTGATAAGGATATTGTTGAGTTACACCCGAAGTTGTGGTTTATAAAGCAGAGTACCGTTAGAGTTTTACGCACGGAAATGTTTAGAGAGTAATTGTGAATAACATACAGACAAACTGGGTTTTATAGTATTTTACTTTTAGGGAAAATCAAAATCATAGTCCTTTAACAATCCAAGTCTTAGCCATATAAAGTGCAATATAAGATCAATCCAGGGATATAAAATCTTCTTACCAGTTTGTAGAAAAATACAAGGAACAATCAGGAACAATATAAAAACAGTTCAATAAATATCAGAAAGCAGTAAATAAATAATCATGATCAATCAATTGACCATATAGAGATCAAAAAGAGTTACAGCGTAGCAGCAGGTAAAAATGGTGTAGTGTCCACACTAACCATAATTTAACTCTCCTTAAATACATTGGCTACAGAGCTCAGCCAATCAGGATGCAGAATGACTCAGCACAGTTCTTAAAGCTACTTAATACATTCACATAATACAAACATACAATGTTGGCTTATATATTTCCTGGCCAACCAATTAGGCAATAACCATTTCCTAACAGTGCTGATTTTACATAAGGTAAAATCTGGGACAAATCAGAAACTGAAAATAGTGCTGCCATCATAATAAACTATGACTAATTCCTGCTGTCATAGGAATATTTTTGGATTAATAAATAAATGTCTCATGAATCTTGTTCAGACTGTGAGAATATCATGACCTTTTATATACATCATAGTAATGTTGTAGTTTATAAGGACTCTGAATTATCAAATCTGAGTTATTGATACTTTCCAGGTTCTGAAATAATCTTTTTATACTTAAGTTTACCTACATAGAGTAAAATGACTATTTAATAAAACTTTATGCAGATATTTGAATTGCAATTATTTAAACAGAATTAAATAGGGGCACTTAGTTCAGCTTTTCACCTGAACAATATTGGCAAGAGGCCTGAATGCCACTTTGCTCTGAGATCACATCAAGCATCACTGAATTTTCAGTAGTTAGAGATGTGCAGGTATTTATTTTGAAACATTTTGTTTCCATGTTCCTGTACAAATAGCCCTCTATGTTCGCAATTTCTATTTTCTTCTACTTCAGGATAGTTCTCCTGTCATTAATATAATGCTTAGTATGAATGAACTGCTAAATCCAAGTGAGACAATGTTTGTTAATTTTGCTTCTTAGAGTTGCATGTTTCCTTGAATAATTTTTAGAAAAGATTCTGATTTATATCTAAAAACAAAACATGTTAATTAGTGGATCTTATGACATGACTGTAATATCTTTTGTCTGAATCAAGTATACTGATCAATCTATGCCATAACCTCAGGCTCAGTACAATGCTGTGTCTTTGTCATGAGTTGAAAGCTCCAATTAATGCAGAATACAGTGATCCATTTCTTGACTATATGAGATAATAATAATACTAATAAAAATAAATCAATGGCAGACTGAAAATTATCTGTTATGAAAAGGTCCAAGATGTTAGCTTTGATATTTAAAAATTTAGATAGCTAGGAATTAATATAATTTAGAAACCATATTCTGTCTATTTTTTAGTTTGGATTTTAAGGTCATGAAAAATGCTTTTTGATTGCACAATCATAAAAAGTATTTATGCTAAGTTCAAAATAATGTTGGCCACAACTATGGAAATTTTCAAGTATCAATTCTTTTCTAAAAACCACTGTGAAGATTTTGGTAAGCATGTGGTTTATCAAATATAATGATCCACTATATGGGATCCACTATGTTATTCTCCAAAATCTCTGTAAAACTATTTAGTTGGGGTAGCTTTTTAGAAGCTGGAATCAAGAGATTACTCTTAAGTGAAAGTGTCAGAGACAGAACTGATCATAAATAAAAGGACAGCAATCTTACTGCAGACAGTTACATCTGTGTAATTTATGTGGTGGTTTATTACTCACAGGAAATAACTGCTCCTTCAGGTTCTCTAATATACTTGGTTTCTTTAGAAGCATTTCCTTGCAATATGCAATATGCAATAACCTGATATTTCTTATGATATTTGCTTTTATTACAAGTTTTTTCATCAGGACTTTCTAGTTAAAGCTTGCTTTCAGAAACCATGGTTGAGAAAATAAAACTGATCTTGCACATTGGAACACTGCTATTGAATATTCTGTCTCTTCATAATCTCTCTCTCTCTATATATAAAAGTGAAATACCATTCACGCATCATCACAAAATCTCCAGAACAGTAAAGCCTACAAACTTGAAATTTGCCACGTATGTTCCTCTTGGCTTCTAGGTGGTCACTAAGAAAAGATTTTTTGAAATGAACATCAGAGCATTAGTATTTCTTATATTATTATTAACATGCTCTGATGCTAAGGAGTTGTACTCCCCCTCTCCACCTGAAAATAAATCTGTTTCAAATGCAAAACACAAGCAGAGGAGAGGAGTTTCAGTTTCAGTTTTACTTTCACAGCAGCAAGCAAGGGATAGGATAGGAAAGGCTTTATGGGACAAGATTGAGGGAGAGAAGGGGATAGGATAGGGGACGCTTCTGTGGGGCAAGGCTGAGGGAGAGAAGGGGATATGATAGGGGAGGCTTCTGTGGGGCACGCCTGAGGGAGAGAAGGGGATAGGATAGGATAGGCTTCTGTGGGGCAAGGCTGAGGGAGAGAAGGGGATAGGATAGGAGATGTTTCTGTGGGGCAAGCCTGAGGGAGAGAAGGGGGATAGGAGAGGCCGATCATAACTACTCATTAATTTTCAAGCTGTGTCAATTTATCAAGCCCGATCACATAGTTTCGTAGCAGAGCACAGGTATTCAGCTAGTCTATATATATAAAAGCCAAATACCACTCACTCATCATGAAATCTCCAGAACTGTAAAGCCTACAAAATTGAAATTTGGCACATATGTTCCTCTTGGCTTCTAGGTGCTTGCTAAGAAAGGATTTTTTGAAATGACCATCAGATCATTAGTATTTCATATACAGTATTATATTCACACACTCTGATGCTAAGGAGTTAGATGTTCTACTCCCCCTCCCCAATTGAAAAGAACTCTGTTCCAATTGCCAATTGCCTCACATTCTGTTCCTCAGTTAAAACTGACACACGTTCCACTCCTTCACTCAGAAGCGGTCTGGGGCTCCTTACTGTACTAAACGTCACAACTTCATCAAAATGTCTACGTCTTCCACCTATGGAACTGCTTCCAAACTCAAAGCAGCAGGAGAGAGTTTCATGAGTTTCAATCACCGACCACCACTGAGCCAACAGATTGTGAACCAAATTTCTCCTGCATAGTGTCCCAGCCCCAAATCACTTCTTACACTGACCTCCTCAGTTCAGATGAATCTGTTCCTTCTACTGTAACACCAGTTAAAGGGAAAAGAGGGGAAAATGCAGGAAAAGATTTACAGATGCGATTAGGAAAACACAAGTAAGGGAAGTTGCAAAAAAGTATCATCAAAATCATCCCAAAGTCAATAGAGAGGCTATAAAAAAGTATGTATGTAATAACCCCTACGTTAATCAGGCAGCTACAGCTAAATACAATGAAAAGATATCACAAATCAGATCAATGCCTTGGACTAATAAGTATTTGTCTGGTCCCGCCCCCTCCGGTTTTAAATATGAACCTCACATTGATTACTTCAGGGAAAAGGTTGTTGATCTCGGGCTTTGATTACCCTGTTCCTGGTGCCGTGCCTGAAGTGATGAGACTCCTGGGATGTGCTGCAGTGGCGGTAAAGTCCAGCTCCCTCCCCTTGAGCCCTATCCTGAACCCTTATACGGCATTCTCACCCACCAGCATCCAATGGCACAGCACTTTCTTTCTGCTGCCTGGAAGTACAATGGATGCTTCCAAATGATGTCTTTTGGAGCCAGAGAGGAGAAGGAGGGAAATTTTATGCCAACATTCAAAGTGCAGGGGCAGGTCTACCACAGGATAGGGAGTATCATAGCGGGGCCTCAGCAGCAGCCTTCATTTCTCCAGATATACTTTGTTGGTGATGATGACAATGAGAGGGACATCTGTTGTGGAAACTACCCGGGCGTTAATCCAGAACTGGTTAGCCAACTGCAGAAATTGCTGCGTGAACAGAACAAGTATATTCTGGAACTTAAGGCTGCTGTTGATTCTGTTCCTAAGGGCCACTAGGACTTCCAAGTGGTAATTAACGCTGATAGGAAGCCTTCTGGAGAGCACCGAGGTTGTTTCAATGCCCCAACTACAGAAGTAGCTGTTCTCATTGTTGGCCATGATTTTGAGAAGAGAGATATTGTTCTCCACAGCAGAGACAACAGGTTGTTACGAATCAGTGAGACACACCGTGCCTATGATGCTCTCCAGTACCCTCTGATGTTCTGCCGTGGAAACTTAACTTTCCGTCTCTAACGAAATAATACAGTATCTTTTTAAACTACTCATTAATTTTCAAACTTTAAGTGACAATTTATCAAGCCTGATCACATAGTTTTGTAGCGAAGCACAGATATCCAGCTAGTAACCTAATAAATATGTAACAATCAGATATCCATCCATCTCCATTTTTATCCTGTAATTGTTTGAATTAGTTTCATTTATTAATGCAGGTTATTCACTTGCTAATAGTGAAACTTATTGTTTGGAATATTTAATTTAGCTATTGCATTGTCTAAACGAAGAGAGCAACTCCCCCTGCTGGAAAGTCAAAGCATAATCATGATCCTTATGAAATGATTAATTGAAATTTGAATTGGGCATTGCCAGAAAATCATTTGGAAATATCTCTGCATTTGCAAGAGCTCAAACTACCAAGGGCCACCTAAATAATCTATATGAGATGTATGTGGTTTCCAACTGAACATTTTCTGCTCACTACTACCTTAAACAATGTCAGCCTCCGACTTTCTGCTTTGGCTGCCATAAGAAATGGGGGAGAGAAGAGAGGAGGGGGAGGGAAGCAAGCTGGTGGATTTTGAAGAAACGAAACCTAAGCACCGAAGTGGCTATCGGGTCAACTGTCATCGTGTTCCTGATTGACGTGTGTCCACCTGACCTCTGGGAGACCTTTGGATTGGGTGATTGATGATGAACAGTGGGAGGGGATGCTTTCTATATGCAACTTTCACGCCTATTGCTTTAGTTTCAGCTTTCCATGATTGCGTACATTACTCTATAAATATGGAGTTTGGCTCATTCTTTCCTGGACTTTGAAGGAAGCAAGCCTGACATTAAGCTGAAACTCACTTCAGTCATCCCGGAAAACCACCGAGGGGACTGTGATCCAGATCATGTCAGATCAGGGAACTGAGGAAACGCAAATGGGAGCATCGGGGTCAGCGATGCCTCCATTTCAAACAGAGGAAGAAACTGCTGAATGGTTGAGAAGACTCCGGCTCCCAGAGGAGACTGAGGAAACCAGATGGTCGAAGGGAGTAGGAAGGCTGCTGGACTGGGGAGGGACCCCCCAGGGTGTAACCAGCTCCAGACCATGTAAGGGGGAGGCAGTGTGGCTGCAGGAAGAAAAGGAGAAACTCATGCTGGCACAGGCAGTGCAACTCCTCCGTGATGTTGAAGAAAGCCGGAAAAACCATGAGTTTTATGGGTTCCCTGTGGAGAAGGGAGGAGACGGCCCCAGAGGGAAGTCAGAAGAAACAGCTTGTGGGGGAGAAGATGAGGAAGCTGAGGAAAGAACATCTCAGACTTCGGAGGCTCGAGTGAGGGATGAACAGGTCAGGGACCCCCAGCCTTGCAGGCTCCTCCCCGCAGATGTAAAAAACCAAAATTCCCTCCCTAACTGGGAAATATGATGGGAATCCGAAGACCTTGGGTTATTTTTTGACTCAAGTATGGAACCACATGCAAGATTGGGGGGAAGACTATTTGTCAGATGCTGCTTGAGTGAGATGCGTCACGAGCATATTAGAGGGAGCCGCAGCTGAATGGATGGTGGTCCTCCACAATAATGACTCCCCTTTGCTAAGAAATTACAACCAATTCATGGGAGCTCTTAGGAGGCGTTTTGAAGACCACCTAGCTGAACAGAAAGCAAGACTTAGAATGAAAAGCATCCAGCAAGGCCGGAGATCAGTGGCAGAATACACCCAAGAATTCCGCGAGCTGGCACCCTACATGACAGGGTGGTCAGAAGTGGCTCTCCTGGAGAGTTTCAAATATGGGCTGAATGAAGAGATATACAAGGATTGTAGAGGCCGGGGGGTTCCTGAAGATTTGCAGAGTTGGTATATAGCAGCTGAGGATGTGGAGATCGAGCTGGCCCGAAGCCGACTCAGAGGGGGACGTGCTGGAGACCCGTCATCCTCCTTTTACCGCAAGGGAGCACCTAAGATGGCCAAAAGGAAGGCGGAATTCAAACCAAAGTCAAAGCCTTTCACCTGTTTCAAATGTGGGAAGGAAGGACATCGGGCTGCCGAATGTTTCTCCAAACCAGTACCTAAGACCACCAGTTTGGGGCCCAGGAAGGCAGACAAAACACCCGCAAAAACCCACGGCACCGCCCTGAAAGGAGAAGTTGTTGAGTTCGCTCCCCGAAACGAGGGTGAGTTGGGAACTCCGACCACCGACGACGACAGCGGGACGGACTCCGACTCTGACGATCTGGTGAGTCACACCGAGGACCCCATGCTCATCCCTGTAGAAATAAGGGTGCCATCCACAGGGACACAAGCGCAGATATTAGCCCTACTGGACTCTGAGTGCACCAGGTGCATAATCAGCCCGAAAGTGGTGGAAAAGATGAGCCTGAGATTAAAAACTCTAAAAAGGCCTATTGCGTTCTGTCAGTTGGACGGATCTATTGCAGGAGGGGGCCCAGCCAGTTTTGTGACTGAACTCATTGAAATGCAGCTGGGGGATCATGTAGAAAATCTCAGATTCATTGTGGCCCCTGGCATGGAACGACCCCTCATACTTGGACTGCCTTGATTCCGAAGATGGAACCCACGAGTTAATTGGAAAACCGGGATCTTGCGTATTCGCACCGGAAAACTGAGAGTAGAGAGGGAACACCCCCACCCCCCAGAAGATAGGTCAGGACCCGAAACTGTGGAAATGGAGTAGGCCACATTGAAGGAGAGGAGAAGATTCCAAAAGAATATTGGGATCTCCGTGAAGTTTTTAGTGAAAAGGCCTCGGATG